ATTACTGAGACTTCCAAGCATTGGACATTCCCGCCATCTGTTCTCCATTGTAGGATTCTCACGTTGGGATCCTCCTCAAGTTAAGGGTCTGAAACTGCATCTTACCCTTGACCGGATAGGGTCCCACTGAAGCAGAAAACTGCAAGACGTCTCCGTCTCCGACAGAATCGACACGACACGGAGTTTTAGGAACAAAGAGCAGTTTATTTTGCCTGCGTCTCTACAGGGGACTAGTGTCCTTCTGAGAGGGGAGAACAAAGCCCTATTTCCATTCTTATATTGTTACTATCCTACGGGGAAATTTTTCATTGGAAATCAGTACGAAGTGAGATTAGAGAAGCAAAGCAATGATTAAGGGGGTGTTTTTGTTTTGGTTTTGGTACAGGAATGGAACTCAGGGCTTCATGCTTTCCAGGCAGGTGCTGTGCTACTGCTGAGCTATATCCCCGCGCATTAAGGGGAATTAACAATGATTAAAGGGCAGGAAGTTTACATCACTGATATGCACCACTGATATTACCTTTTACAGAGCCGGGGTCAGTTTCCCCAGGAGCTTAGCTGCACACTAACCCACATTTTCCAGTTTCACCTTAGGAGGTGGTCTACTCTCTTAGGACCACTTCTCTGCACCTTCTTCCCTCCCCTTTCAGATCTTACCTGAACTGGTCTCCACCCTGCCAAGGACCTTGCAGGGCTGATCTTCCAGCCCCTTTCTAAAGCCTTTCTCTGACACTCACACATTAGAAGTTTGTATTTACGTGTCTGTCTTCCAGGGTTAGAGTCACTACTCTCCCTCCACTCCAGTGCCTGCCATCCCCTTCCCCAATACATCAAGCTCATTCTCACTCGAAGCCTTTTACCGTCCTGCCCCTCTTCCAGGGACATTCCTCCTGCAGGCATTTCCACCTTTTCATTCAGGCCTCAGCTCGTATCCCTACCTCAAAGGCTTTCCCCGACCACCTTATTGAAAATGCACACCCAGGTCCTGTTCCTTACAAGGCTTTAATTTTCTTTATATGTGTAAGTTACATGAGCATAGACACATTGCCCACTTGTTTGCTGCAGTGTATGTAATATAATACACATTATAGGCACTTGCTCAATACTTGATGAATGAATAGCCTTATTAAACAAATGTCAAAAGTAGTTGGAGGGACTGACAGGCAAAGAACTAGACGGAAGGTATGCGGTGTAATGGCAGAGCTTGGGATGAAGAGGGAAGTCCTGGAGCAGCCCAGGAAATGAATGCAAAATTTGTGAGGTCTGTTATACATTCTTAGGCAAGGGTATTGCATCAGATGTGTTGTAAAGTCCAGAAGTGGAGGACACTTCCCATCTGGTGAGATGTCTTGGGTGTTTTTCTGCATACAGAAGTGCATTCTTCCAAATTAAACTTTGTTTGCACCCAACTTCAGCCTCTTTGGTAAGCAAGCCATTCACTTCCTTTTCAAAATCACAGCCCCTCTACACATCAGCCTCTCCAAATGTTCTTGTCGTCGGTAAGCTACCACGTAGCATTCTGGTCTGATATGTTCTGATTATCAAAGAGTATTAATTGGACTTCTAGCCAGATGTGGTCCATTATGGATGTACACCCATAATCTCAGCTACTTGGAAGGCTGTGGCAGGAGGACCTAAAGTTCAAAAGCCTGAGCAACTTAGTTGAGGCCTTGTCTACAAATAAAAAGGGCTGGGGATGCAATTTAGCACTCCCTGGGTTCAGTCCCCAGTACAGTGTGCACATGTACGCACACACACATACAAACAACTGGGCTTCTGCCGAGTTTGTCAAGCATAGACTGAACACTGAGTAGCTAAAATTCAACTGAAAGACTAACTTTAACACATGGCTGTGGGTGAGACTTGAGCTGGTACTTGAAGTACCAGTAAGATTTGGAAAGTCAGTATGATTTTGGAAAGGTACTACATTTCAGCTAAGCCTGTTTCTTTATCTATCACGTGGATATTGAACTAATACCGATATAAAGGTAAAGAGAATTGGCTGTGGTGGTACACAGTTGTAGTCCCAGTACTGAGGAGGCTGAAGCAGGATCGCTCTAAGTTCAAGACCAGCCTGGACTACACAGTGAGTTTAAGGCCAGTCTGAACTAGATAGCAAGACTGTTTCAAAAAAAAAGTAAAGAGAAAGTAGGGTGTGGTGGCATAGGCCTGTAAACCCAGCACTCTCCTTTCTTAGCATTTCAGTTGAAATACTTTATATTTTCCTTAATAAGTCTCCAAATGAAAACTGAATTTAAAAAAGACAATAACAACAAAAACCAAGCCCTTTCTCTTTTTCTTTGTTACTCAAGTTTCTCTTAGATTTCCATTTCTGGAGTTGTATGTGGATACAAGTTTAGGAGACAACATGCCACAGCACTTAATTATTTGCCAGAAGAGAAATTTTGAGAATTTTTAGAAAGAGGAAGAAACCAGGTGTGGTGGTGCAGGCCTGTGATCCCAACACTTAGGAGGCTGAGAGGCAAAAGGATCCCCGGGAGTTTGAGGACAGCCTAAACTAAATCATGAGACCCTGTCTCAAAAAAAAAAAAAACCCAAAATAATAATAATTAAATTAAAAGCAGTATTTTGTGTAGTTCTAATCACTGCCACTATATCCTGCCATTTCCACATAACATTATCCCATTGATTGTATTAGACCTATTTTAAAACAGTATATTTTTCTATCATGTGGGTATGACATACTAAGCATATTCATTCCTTATAGTTATTAAAATATTCTAGCTATTTTAGAATATTTTAAAAAATGACTTCCAAAATAAACAGATCAAAGTATAGTACTCTAGAGAAGGTAAATGACCCATTGTAACTTTTTTTTTGAGACACGGTTTCACTATATAGTTCAAGCTAGCTTTGAACTATGTAGTCTAGGCTGGCCTCAAACTCATGTTAATCCTCCTGCTTCAGCCTCCTGAATGCTGGTATTACAAGCATGTACCACCATGCCCAGCTGTAACTTTTCTTAAATGATGGAAATATTTCATATACAGAGAAGGTGCCTGACATCTAAGGACCCACCATACACATTTAACAATGGTTAACATCCTATCGTATTTGCTTCATTATGAATTTTGGTAAAATAACAGCTCTTGGATAACCTTTGCTTGGTTTTTTAGGTTAACATCACTATTTGCAAATTATAGTAAATATTCTTCAGATTTTCTTGGCATTTCATCATATCTTAACTTTAAGAAACTGATTGTTAATCTTCTATTTTTACAATTAGATTCATGCTTTCCTCTATTTTTCCTTTAGAACTTGATTTTCTTTGATCTGAGTAAATCCTGTGCCCTAGATAAAATTAATATCCTTGATTTAGTATTTGCCTTTATTGCGTATATTGGATGGGTGGGAGCAGTTTTTGCCAGGTGATTGTTCAGGCTGGCCTTGACCTCACGGCAATCCCTCTGCCTCAGTCTCCAAAGTATACCATGACAGGAGCTCTTGTTCAGAGATCTGGATAGATGTTTTTCTAAGCATTTTTTTAAAGTTCTGAGATCTGTAGTTCTCACACCTTTAAGTAAAGTACTTTTTACATTTCAGGACATACCATATTACAGACTCATTATTGTCACAGAAACCTTATTACGTGAATAAAAACAGCTTCCTTCCTTCCCTTCTTCTTTTGACAGGTCTCACTATGTAGTCAAGGCTGACTTGAAACTCACAATCGTGCCTGAGCCTCCCGAGTGTTGAAATCACAGGAGTCTGCCACAATGTTTGGCAGTAAATGTGTTTTATATTTTCATTCTATTTTGGTAGTATAATCAAATGTAGTGTGGTGTTTGTCTAAAGACACCTTTTAAGTACTCTAGGTGAAAGCAGGTTGGACATTTTGAGTGTTATGTTTTAGTAAAGAATTATTTTTGTGTCACTGTTTAAAAGAATTACCACTATGTTATGCTGCAACTTGTTCTTTAAATTTCAGACTGAAAAGCAGGAGTTACTGCAAATCTGGAGGAGAAACACATACAGAACCTACAGTACAAGATTCCACAGTACAAGGGTAAACCCAGACCGGAATACTAGCTGGTGCTTGGGTTCCACGAAAATTCTCCATCTGGCCACTAGAGGAAGAAAGCACACAGAAAAAAAAAAACCAAGAGCAGCCCCAATCCAATCACCATTCATTCATCAAACCTCAGAGAGGCTCCTGCCAGTACTAATTCACTGCCAGCTTTTCAGGTAGCTGTCTGGAAGGAGAGAGATGTGAGGGTGGGGTGGGTGGCTCAGGAAAAGTGAGTGTTGGTGGTGATTAATGTGTGTCAAGCTCTGGGTTGTTGAGCTTCATCAACAGGAGCTCATTTAAGTCTCATAAATACCTGCAGACGCAGTTTCTTTGTATCACTGAGGGGACTTGAAGCACATATCAAACCCAAGGCCAAGCAGCTGCACGTGCAGCAGCCAGGATGTAACACAAGTCCGAGCCCAAAGCTTGTACACTTCTCTAAGGGTTCCTATCATACAGCACTCTTGATTTCTATCAAAACTCTGTATCTACTCCTCTTGACCAGTGAAGAAATAGAAAACTTGACTCACACACTGACTGAGCCAGATAAGAATGCATCAGTGTCTGTAAAGGTCAACAGCTTTCAGCTTTCACAGTCATCACAGGGCAGATTTGTGGACTTTCTTTTGTTACTACTAGGGTTTGAACCCAGGGCTCTCACTGAGCTACAGCCCCAGCCCTTTTCTTTATTTATATTTTTAGACAAGACATCTCTAAATTGGTGAGCTGCCTAGTCTGTGCTCAAATTTAATGACCCTCCTGCTTCAGCCTCCCAGAGTGCTGGGATTATAGGCATGTACCACCATGCCCAGATTTAACAATTAGAAATTGTTTTAGAAATTCACACACACAGACTAGGGGTATATAGTGTACTGGGAGAGCACTTGCCTAGCATGCACAAGACCCGGGTTCAACACCCAGCACCACACACTGACGCACGCACACACACAAAAACACCTTACTGAAAATATTAATTACCTGATAACCTTTATTAAGTAAAAGTAACCATGAAACAGTGCTTCATAAGGCAAGGCAAGGCCTTTGCTTCCTATGTGTGAGGACGCTGCCCAGTCCCAACTCCATGTCAGGCATCCTCCTTAGCAAGATGTCATCCTGGCTGACCACAAAAAGGTGATTAACATCTTAGCCAATCTTATTCTTACTTGACCAGAATGACTACAGAAGGCTTTGACATGCTGAGGTTCCAGATCTTTGTTCTGTGCATTGTGCTCTGCAGTGAGGGACACCAGCTTGGATCTGTTTACATGAGGAAAGACAGGTTAAGTCCCACCCCTACCCCACCTCACCCCACCCCCACGCTGGGCAGCAAGCAGCCTGCTTGGCTTTCCTGCTTGACTTACTGCGACTGATTTCCCCATCCTTCCTCCAAACTCCCACAATTGTCCAAGGAAGATGAAAACAAGTCAAAGAAACTAAACCACGCCTAGTATGGTGGAATGAAAAGTACTCTGATACATAAAGCAAAAACATGAAGAAGGGAAAAATAAAATGTGGGCAAGAAGAAAAGTTAAACTATGTAGTTGTACTGCCAATTTAAGAGTTAAAACCCACACTAAATAGAAATGTAACTCATCCAGCTCCCCTGCTCCACAAGACTTTCTTTTTTTTTTTTTGGTTTTTCTCCGGTACCGGGAACCGAACTCACGACCTTGTGCTTGCCAGGCAGGTGCTTTTTGCCGCTGAGCTAAATCCCCAGCCCCTCCACAAGACTTTCTAATGCAGGAAACAGAAATACTACATCCTCCTTGTATTAAGTACTGTTAGTATTAAATACTTTCATGTTTGTGGTGAATCACATAAAAACAAACTCATATACTTTTGCATAAATCAAAAAATGCAGCAAATCAATATAATGGCAAAATCAGGATGAAAAGCTCTACTATTTCCACAAAACAAAAGTTTAGATTAAGTGGACTTTAAATGTCTGCAGCCCTATAGAGCTTTTGTTGCTAAATGAAAAACAAAACAAAAATCTTCCCAGCATAAGATGTTCAGAAGCCTAATTCATAAAAAAACCAATTTATTCCATTTAATAAAATGTTTATTTAGGATGGTAACACAAGATAAGTCATGCAAGAGCTCAATAAAAAAAAGAGAATATAAGAAATAGTAATTGCTGCTGCCAATTAAAAAAAAATTGTAAATCATCTTACCACCCAAAAGTGATAGATAAAACCGTGTGAATCTACGTATGGACATGGTTGGAGTTCATCTTTTGCAATTGCAAGTTAAAGTCACAGGTGACTATTTGTGTTCCATTCCTCAGCGGAGCAGTCTTCTATCCAAAATAATCATTACCGTCCCTCCCACTAAACACTCACATGGCAAGCAGCCCACAATTCCTGCCCAGGAATTCTTCAGCATCCTTGGGACTGTCTCAAACTGACACTTCTCAGCGGGGGAGGAAGGCAGGCACCTTTAGTGACTTAGTTGACAGCCCATCTACACTCAAAACCTTAACATTTTGGTAATGAAAACCGTAAGATTTACAAGTCGTCTTCACTAACCTTAAATGTAGTGTTGTGATGTCCAAGGCAAGATTTCCATGGCAGGTGGGAATTTGGACAGATATAAAAATTGAACATAGTGTCTCAGATATCAAACAAATATAACTCATATTTTGGCAAAAAATAAATATAGTGGAATGCAAGTTTGATAGATGTCAGAATATATAATCTACCAACTGTCAAGGAGTACAATTTCATTGCAGACACAAAGAATCAACAATTTCAAAGAATTTTTAAAATAAAAAAGTTTGCACTTATTCCTCACAAAATTGTCACTTTTGGAACTATTCCAATTAAGCTACACACTGGATTTATTAATACAGCATTAAGTTTCTTTGTGTAAAAAAATCTTTGTACATAGTAATAAAAAAGATAAGGCAAGATGCATTAAACAGAAACCTTGTGTTCTTTTCCTCTGTTCTTATACAGCCACTGATGACGATCTGCAACAAAAGAGTTAAGTTTCTGATTTTCTGCATCAAGCATCTCATGCCTTTGCTGTGGTAAGAATTCTGTCCGAGCACCCTGAAGGACAGAGGCTGCTGATGGTCTTTGGCACTTATGCTGGCAAACTGAGCTTCTTTCCTTTGAGTACTGGAATTTAAAAAAAAAAAAAGAAACAAAAGATTACTAATGTTGACAAGTATACAGCTTCCTTCTCTCTGTTCTCAGAACTCCAGCGTACACAAGACTGTACCCAGTAAAGTATGAATAAGGTGTTGCACTTAAAAAATGCAAACCTGATGGTGGCCGTGGTGGTGCACACCTGTGATCCCAGCACTGCCTGAAAGGGTGAGGCAGGTAGGTCACAATTTTAAGTCTAGTCTGGGTAACTTAGTGAGACCCTGTCTCAAAATTAAAAAAAAACAAAAAAACCCAGGGCTGCCAATGTAGCTCAATCAACGTGGATGTGGTTCAGTCCCCAGTAACACCACCACCAAAAAAAAAAAATTGAAAACACCACCAAATTCATAGCACCCTCACTGTTATAATTTCTCCCTAACTAATATATATTAAATATGACTTACGGAGGGGTATCTTGGATATTTAAAAAACATGTAAGATATGTATGTCCTTTTACCAACAAGTCCAGCATTAGGGATGTAACTACGTACCAGAGATTCTTACCCTGGGCTCTCTAGTTGGGCTTCAGATGCTTTTGAATTCTCTCTACTTATACATATGAATTTGTGTGCATGGAATATATTTGGATTTTTTCTTAGCAAGGATTACAGTTTTTTCATGGGATATCTGTAAAGTCCACGTCATATATTTATGCAAATGTAAATTTATATATAGATATATATACATACACACATATACAATACAGATTGATTTAAACACTGAATTTTGTTTCTTTTTTTTTTTTTTGGTACTGGGAATCGAACTTAAGACCTTGTGCTTGCCAGGCAGGTGCTGTGCCACTGAGCTATATCCCCAGCTCCTTAAACACTGAATTTTGGCAGGGGGGGGGGGTGCGTGTTTGAAAGAGGGTCTTGTTTTGTTGTTCAGGCTGGTCTCAAACTAGTAGAGATCCTTCTGCCTCAGCCTTCTGAGTGCTGGGATCACAGGCGTGAGCTACTACACCTGGTAAACACCTAACTTTTTTTTTTTTTTTTGGTACTAGGAATCGAACTCAGCGCCTCACACTTGCCAGGCAGGCTCTGTGCCCCTGAGCTACATCCCCAGCAGCCCAAGCACTGGGTTTTAACAGCAGCAGTTCAGTAACCCGGAACACCTAAAAACTGGGGCTGGGTGAAGAAACTGTAGTGTGGATGATATATAATGACTCACTGGCTTTTTAAAATTTTATTCCTCATTAATGGGGATTGAACCTAGGTCGTTCCCACTGAGCTACATACACAGCCCTTTTTCTATCTTTTATTTTGAACAGTGCCTTGCTAAATTGCCTAGGCTGGGATTGAACTTGCAATCTTCCTGCTTTAGCTTCCCATAGTGCTGAGATTATAGGCCTGTGCCACCATGTTCAGCTAATTTCTATTTACTGACATGAAAAACTGCATGGGAAACAAAACAGATTACAGAAAATCACATACAGTTTAAATCATGTACCTGTATTCACACAGATATAGCTGGCATTATGTTTACTAATACATTAACAGTGGTTATCTCTGGGTGACAGGATCTCAGATGACTGACTGAAATAATTAGATATGACTGAAACCTGTATAATGAAACATGTCATTTTTGGAAAACAAAAATGTTTTTATATGAAAGAAGACTGAAAATTCTGATATGGAATTTGGGGGGTGGGGATAACTGGAAATTAAACTCAGAACCTTGCACTTGCCAGGCAGGAGCTGTGCTGCTGAGCTGTATCCCTGGCCCCTGATATGGAATTTTATTTGACCGTCATACAGTTACTTTTCTGAAGCCAGTTCTGCTCTGTGGGACCATGCCAAATGAGCAGAGTGTTGGGCACAGGAACTGAGCAAGCAAGTTCCTCACAGAGCCCAGGACTACACAAACAGGCAGGCCAGCCCTGAGGTACCTTTTGTAATGTACAAGTAGAAGAAGTCACAGTATAGGATGGTCTGGACCACTCCGGCCACCACAGCAATGAGGTCGAAGAAGCCCTCGAAGTAAAAGCGCCAGATCCAGTTGACAAGATACAAAGCACGGTAGAGACCCAGGAAGAACAGGTAATGGGTGGTGATGGTCTCAGCCTCGCCAGTCTTGCTGATCATGAAGAGCTGTGGAAGGATGGCCACTGACTCAAGGTAGATGGAAAAGGTCCATAAAATCTGGAAGACAAATGGCAAGCTCCCATCAGGAGCCAGTGCCCACAGTGAGTTCGAGAAATACATTTACTTCACTGCAGAACAGCCTAACAGGTGTGGAAGTATTTTCATTACTTCGTCTAACCTTTCTTCTCCTGTATGATTTTTTGCTTTCTTTCCTTCCCTCTTTCCATTTTTCTCCATTACTGGCGACTGAACTGAGGGAGTATTGAACTATATCCCCAGCCCTTTTAATTAATTAATTAATTTTTCGAGGTACTGGGGATTGCACTGAACTACATTCAGAACCCCTTTTTGTTTTGAGACAGGGTCTCACTAAGTTGCTATCTTGCCAGGCTGGGTACAAACTAGCCAGGCATGGTTGAACACACCTGTAACTGCAGCATTCAGGAGGCTGAGGCATGAGGATTGCTGCAAGTTTGAGGACAACCTGAACTACATAGCAAGACCCTGTCTCAAAAAAACTAAAACAAAAACATACTTGTTATCTTCCTTCCTCAGCCTCCTGAGCAGCTGGGATTATAGGTGTATATCAAACCTAGCCACCATAAAATTTTCTGGGAATTTCCAATATGTGATGTTCCTCCTAGATACGCTTATCCCACTATAGTCCTGAATCAACCCTGCTTTCTGCCAGAATTAACAATACTATATTGCTAGCATCCATATTTGGAATTTTGATCTTTTCCAGGGTAGTGACATGCATTACGATATTCTTACAATGCTGGACAGAGCAGTAAGCTCCCAGAGCCCAGGTGGCCTGAGGAAAACAAACAATATTCTAAAGCTGGGGTATCTGGTAGGTTAGGTGCATTAAACACTTTTTAAACTTGCAATATTTTCAACTTACAATGAGTTTATCAGGATGTAACTCTATCATAAGTCAAGAAGCATCTGCATTTTTTCTTACTCTTTAAGCTTTTTGGTGTGGTTTAAACAAAAGGGGTCAGAAGTCAGAGCTGTAATTATGCAAACTCTCTGCCCAGCATGGCACTTTATTCATGCTGAAGACTGACTTGTAAATAGTCTAGGCACTCCTCACAGACAACCAAGAACAGTGCAGTAACTTAATAACCCCCCATGCTAAGTGGCACCTCTTCACCAGGGATAAAAAGCAGGCCGCTTAGGAACAGGTCACCTCATGGTATGGTGCCAGGGACACTATAAAGCACTGTTCCAAAGGATGAGAAGTATAGCAGTGCTGCTTACAAGATGTGCAGACACAGTATTCATATGCGACAGTGGTACACGGAGAGGAAGCAAAAGCGGACCGGAGTGGGGAAGAGGACAACAGGCAGAGTTCTAGCTTTGGTACCACAGAAGTTAGGACAATAAAATACTGTTTTGACTCTATATTCGCAAGGAACATCAGGGATAAGCTGTCAGCAGATACCCAAACACTTGGGTGCTATGATTCCTATCTATGATTTATTTTACCAAATAATGCATGTTCCACCAGAAGTTTGCCAAACTGGAAAACAGAAACTAAAAAACTCCACAAAAACCTACATTATCTGCAAATAGGTCTCATCTATGGAACCAGACATAACTGCTAAGTCCCCTCTTAACTAACCTCAAGAGGAGAGAAATCGTGATTGACTAGAAATGAGAGGCCTCCCACAGGGACCACCAGAAACTCCACTCTGAAGGTATCATGATTTCCGTCATAAGTTGCCTTAAATTTCATGTAGATCAGATACACTGTGGCATAGGAGCAGGCAATGTAGATAAGCTGAAAACAAAAGAAACGTACCAGGTTGTCAATATGCTGCAATTGTTCCAACACTCTCCTTTCTGTATCACCTATATATATAATTTTCCTTTTTTAAAGTTTAAGCACAATTGATTTTTGGTGGGTATATGGTTCTATGTCATGTAACCACCGCAATGAGGACACAGAATAGTTCCATTATGCCCAAAATTCCTCCACACTACCTCTTTGTAGTCAAGCCTCCCTCAGCCTTCACCTCTGGTCATCACTGGTGTGTTCTGTCCCCAGTTGTGCTCTTTCTAGAATGTCATATAAATGAAGTCATACAATATATTACCTTTGCCTCTTTCAGTCAGGGACAACTAGTCACATATGCATTAATAGTTTGTTCATTTTTATTGCACTACACCAGTTGCTTACTCACACACCAGTTAAAGGACTGGTGAATTGTTTCCAGTTTGGGGTTATGGTGGATAAAGCTGTTCATAAACATTTTTACAGGCTTTTGTATGAATTTAAGTTGTCACTTCTCAAGTCTACATCTAGGAATGGGTTTACTGAGTCAAATGTTGAGTTTAACTTTGTAGGAAACTGCCAAAGAAATGTATTTTTGATCTCATTTTAAACAAGTATATACCAGCTTAAGAAAAAAATACGAAGTTTAATGTAGTTCAAACCCAACAGACTTCTTCTAGCATGATGCTATTTCTTGCACAGCATTTTTGTAAAGGTAAGATAAACAATATAACTCATGTTAAACTTTGCCATGAATGTTTTTACTTAAATTGTGTTACTTTAACACTGAACATAAGCCGGGTGTGGTGGTGCACACCTGTAATCCCAACACTTGGGGGGCTGAGGAAGGAGGATCGTTGCAAGTTCTAGGCCAATCTGGGCTACAAAGTGAGCTCAAGGCCAGTCTGAACTACATAGCGAGAGCATGTCTCAAAAAAGACAAAAAATAAAAAAAAAATAAAAAACCACAACAAAAAAACACTGAACATTCAGACTGTTACAAAATTTTATTTCATAACCAAAGCAAAACCTAAAGTTAGCAATAATTTGTAAACTACTACTCCCTCCAAGAGACCAATTTTGTGTGCACAGAAGCATAGCTACTCAGTTCATAGTTAAGGTATGTATTCTTTCACCTTCAAAAGGTTAGCCTGGGCAGGCCTGTAATCCCAAATTCGGGAGGCTGAGGCAGGAGGATCACTGGGAGTTCAAGGCCAGCTTGGGCTACATAGAGTTCAAGGCCAGGGGGCTGGGGATATAGCTCAGTGGCATAAGCACCTGCCTAGCAAGCGCAAGTTCCTGAGTTCGATCCCCAGTACCACAAAAAAAAAAAAAAAAAAAAAAAAAAGTCAAGGCCCGCCCGCGCCAACCCTGGGGGCCTTTTCCCAAAAAAAAAAAAAAAAAAAAAGGTCAAACATAATCTCATTATCTGCCCAGGCTGAGATTCTGAAATTATATCAATTTTCAAATTACAGAAATTTAGTCCCAAGAATCAAATAGGTTTCAATCATGAAGAGACAACTGCGATAGGAACCACACAGCCTAGTACTACTTCTCCTTAGGAAATATAATTTGAGAGAGTTAATTTGGAAAAACACTTAAGCAAACAACTTAAATGGAAAATGGGAGCAATCATCAAACCCTCATATGCTTAAAAAGAAAACCCACAAAGACACTAAACATTATCTGGTATGTCATTATGCAGTTACATATGCAAATAAACAGTCAAAATGGTATTAAAATTGTTAGTTGTAATTACACACATGCATAACCAAAGTATACATATATATGTACCTCAGCATATATGTACCTCTGGAACCAGCTGAGGTTCATGGCAGTTGAGGGGGTTCATGGTAGCTGGGGGGCTTCTTAGGCTCAGCCTACAGCTAGCAATATTCAATCCAAGGCCTTAGCAGCAGCTAGGGAAAGACAGTTGCTTGTCTCCCCACAGCACTTGGCAGTTAAAGCAAGAAGATGTGAGCAGATACAACTTGGCTGTCACTCTGCTAACCTTTAGGACATGATGCTTAAAAACTACATCCAGGAAAGCAAGGAGTCCTCTAAGAGCTGGGACTCCTGACAGGACAGGAGGGAATTCTGGTTCACAAGCCTTAAATGCCTGGAGTTTAACTTGCTCAGACAGCAGGCATTGCAGCTAGCCATTTAAACACAGCTAATTATTTCCCACCATTAAGTACTGAAGAATGGAATGATTACAGGTAACTCAAGTTTGTTTCTGAAGACCACAGACTCAAATATTGCTTCGTCTACTTTAATCTGTGCTTATGACAATGCTTTTGAATGGGGGGGAGATGACAACTGTTTAAATGTCACACCAATAGGCTTTAGTTTATACTACTTTATTAAATACTGCTTCCCAGGCCAAGGATGTAGTTCAGAGACACAGTGCCTGCCTTGCAAGCACAAGGCCCTGAATTTGATTTCCGGTACCAAAAAAAAAAAATTACTTTCCATAACCAAGTACTTAGGACTGGCACCAGACACTCAGAATGTGTAGAATGAAGAAGCCAGACTTCTACTGTACATCCTGAGACTCTACTTTCCCCCACAGCACCTATCACAACTTGCAGTCCTTTATACAGGGTTGTGATGATCTATCCGCTCCTTCCCCCACCAGATTGTGAGACCTTGCTCATTTCTTCTGCCACACATTCAGTCCCCAGCTCTGTAGATGTTCACAGCAGGTGTTCAACAACTATAGGAAAGGACGGAAGCTCACTTAGTCCAATGCGTCCCCAAGTATGAAGCAGGTACCCCTGGTGGTATATAAAAGGTAACTACTACATAAACATTTTTGTACTTTAATAGGCATTTGCTTTAATGTCAGGAGAAAGACAAAGGTATCATGGATAGCCATGCCTAGGATAAGTGAAAATATATTATTAAGTAAATTATCACACAGATGTTATTTAAGGGCCAGGGACACAGCACCTGTCTCGCAAGCACAAGGCCCTGAGTTTGATTCTTGGTACCAAAAAAAAAAATTATTTAAGCATGACAAAAGCAATAATGGTGGCATACATGGCAAAAGTTTAAGAAAAATGAAGTGAAAAAAAGGGGAAGCCTATACACCATGCCTCACACAGCAACAAAATGAGAAACTGGAGCCAGGAGTCCTGGTTCTAATCCCTCATTATGTACTGACTTGCTGGATTTCTCTGGGAAATGTGTAATTTCCCAACTCTTGGAAATTTAACAGCCATCCCTCTTTCTTTATAGGGTTATCAAAAGCTTTAAGAGATTTAAATGTAAAATCTCTAAGTTCAGAGTACTTTAATTAAATACTGTCCAAAGCAGAAAAAGTGTGCCCAGTGATACCTGTTATATAGTTATACATACAAGGTGGTCTGAAAGTTTTTAAGAGCAGCACATTTAGATATAATTCTTAGAAATTTTAAATTAAAAAACACACACAGCTGACATAAGTTTCCATGGGTCTGTGTATCATAGACAAATTATACTCTACTGGATAACATACCATACCTTCATAGATGTATTATATAATGAAATAAATGAAGTAAAAAGATCCAGATAACGAGTTGTGAAGACCAGTGCAAAGAGAAGCTGGCTTTTCCCGGAAATACCTAAAGAAATAAAAGCAAAGTGTTAAAACAGTCCTGGAGAACCAGGCGTAGTAGCGCACACCTGTAATCGCAGCACTCAGGAAGCTGAAGCAGAAGAGGAGGATTGCTGTGAGTCTGAGACCAGCTAGTTCAAGGCTGGTCTGTACTACACACCAAGACCTTGTCTAGGAAAAAGGAAGGGACAAAGGGGACGGTGGGGGGGGGGGGGGGCGGGGAGAGAGAGAGACTGAGAGAGACAGAGACAGAGAGAGGAAGGAAGGAAGCAAGGTTGGTTGGTAGGTAGGTAGGTAGGTTGGTCCTGGGGAGCTTTCTGACTCCTGAAGACACTGCAAGAAGTGCAGGTGGGGAAAGTGACATATGAAGTCAAAGACTTGGGACTACTAAAAGTAAACAAGAGCAGTTTCAGTGTTTTCTTCCCTTTAACAGTAGTAAAAGTGCTTCTTTAGGGAGGTTCTGCCAACTTTTGTCTATGATGGGTGCCTCCAGGAAAATGATTCCCTTAAGCTACCACTAACATATCAGGATGTGCACCCTTTAAATGAACATTATTGTTTCTCAACTATGTCACCTTGGGTAGGAAAGTATTTTTTTCAATACACGTGCTGTTATTTAGTACTATAATTTGTCATTACCTTCAGATCTTTCCATTTGAAAACAAAACTTTAAAAGTTGTAAAACTTTTGAGGATGGAGTTGAGATCAACTCTGATTAGAAGATAAGGAATCAGGTAAGGACACTGCTTCAGGTAAGTCTGAGCAGAAACTCCCCTTCCCTTGGAATAATGGCATGGCCTCCCAACGTGGTCACTTTGCTGAGAACAGCATTTATTCAGATATATTAAGAACTTTTAAAACTATTTCTGAGATTCATCACACAACCAACTTCCTATTTGTATTAAAATGTTGCTGGATGCTACAGCAACACAAGGGCAGGAAACTCCAACTACAGCCAATCTTCAAAGGCAGCTGTTCAACCCTGACATACCTCCAACCACCAACTCACCTCCAGAGCAGCACATTCACACTCAGCTGGGGGAGACTAGGTGGTCAGAGCTTAGTCAGAGCGTGCTCAGGGCTTCTTTGACATTTACATTTGGCTCAGTGTTTTTGTAGGTGTAAACTGATGTTTTTTATTTTTATTTTTTTGTCTTTTTGAGAAAGGATCTTGCTATGCAGTTCAGGCTGGCCCTGAGCTCACTTTGTAGCCCAGGTTGATCTCGAACTCACAATGATCCTCCTGCCTCAGCCTCCCAAGTGCTGGGATTACAGGCGGTGCCACCATGCCCGGCTTGAATTGATGTTGGAGACTGAGCGACTTCTTTATGGAAGTTGAGAGCTGACAAGACACCAGAACCTACCCACTCTTGTCTACAATGCAAACTTCAATTACTCCCTCCCTCTTTCTCTCTCTCTCTCTCTCTCTCTCTCTCTCTCTCTCTCTCTCTCTCTATATATATATATATATATATATGCATATTTCTCAAAAATAAGTTTATTTATTTATTTTTGAGGCAGGATCTGCTATGTAGCCCACGCTGAGCTCAAACTTATGGTGATCCTCTTGCCTCAGCCTCCTGAGTTCCAGGACTGTAAGTATGCACTACCAAACCCAACTTAGCAATTACAATTTTAGTAAGCACGTATTTAACAAAAAATTCACTACACCCAAGTCATTCACAACACTCCTGTGGAATATGAAAATCACATTTTCTTCTTTTTTTTTTGTTTTTTTGAAACAGGGTCTCACTATGAAGTTCCTGCTAGCCTGAACTCACTAAACAGCCTAGGCTGGCCCTGAACCTGCAGCCCTGCCTCAGCCCCCCAAATGCTGGGATTATAGGCATGCACCACCATGCCTGGCCAATCACATTGGTCTTCAATGACATTTTATAATCATTTTTGTGGCTGGCTGAAATTAAGATCCTGGATGTGTGAATGTTACTTTCTAAGTATAAATAATTACAGTTCCAGCCTATTCACACGAACAAAAAGACCCACTTAAATAGAAAGTAAGAAAAAACTGAATCTATCCTTCTAAATTCACCAACAGAAACCAATTTCAAGGGCCAAAGGAGGGGATCTGGGCGGCACACCTTCTCTGTTCAGTCTTCTCAGTAATGAAGATCTTTTTTTCCTACAAGAAATCAATGTCCCAAAGAAAAAAAACCAATGAAGCAGATGCTAAAAGCTGGTGAGAGCCCAGACGAGGAAAGAGAGAACAGGGGAGCAGACACTTCACATACTTATTGATGCCTTGAGAGAAATTTCTAATTTATTTGCTACATGGTTCTTTCTAATATTTTAAGTAAGAATTTAGAGGATACAGATGAGTAAATTTTGCCACAAAGGAGAGCACTGGAAGTCAGACAGATTTTTGTACTTATTTTCAGTATCCCTGTACAAACCCAAAGACCTTCATATATATATATTGTTTTTAAAAAAAAATTTTTTTTTTTAAAGGCCATCGTATATTGCCTTGATCATTCCCCTTAGAATCCCTAGGTCATCTCTGAGATAGCCTCCCTCAGCTCTCAACATTCATCCAGTAGTCACACAATGGGAACTCTCCACGCCAGCTGCTGCCTTAGTTCCTCTTTCAGCCTTATAAAACTGGTGCCGGCTGCTCCCTCCTCCAAACCCCTACCTGACAGACGTCTCTAAAGGCAGGGGCCGCCCTTATTCCACATCCTGTACTGGGCTCTGCGCCTGACACACATTGCAGGGTCCAGTAAATATTCACTGAATGAATGAACACAAGGACAAAAACAAATGGAGTTCACTTTATCTTCATGTCACGGGGCAAATTTTCACTGTGTGGTATTCTGGGCTAACACTTCTAAAGAATCTCCTAGTCCTACTCTGTGTGTGTGTCTTTATGCCTGTAAATGGACAGTTGCTCTGGCTCTGCCTAACTTAATAGCAGCCAGAGGGTGAGAGAGCCCTGGGGGTGACCACAGGGCAGAGGTAAGGACAGGCAGAAGGCCCCATTGTGTAGAACCCATGCCGGAACTGGCAGGCTGGGAATGGGAGGGTGCTTACTTAGTTCTTACACTCTTCTCCCTGGCTTGGATCCAAACTAGCAAGTAGCAGCTTTTCCCTTAAAGCTGCAAAAATTCCTTTCTTCCCAGGAATGCAGAGATCCCAGCTGAAGATGGGAGGGGGAGGGGCAAGAATCACTAGGAGTCATCTGGAATCTCCCTAGTAAGCCAGAATGGCTACCTCCTTGTTTTTATTTTTGTCGATTTGACTGCAAGGGAATGCATCCAAGCCTCATGCATGCTAGGCATACGCTCTACCACTGAGCTACATCCCCATCCAGTACCTTTCCCTTTTTAAAGTAAAACACACTAAGGCTATCAGGTAACAAGCACTCAGAGAATACTCATTGCAAACATTTCAGAAACTGACGTTCCAATACCAAATTCACCCAAGATCTGTATTAAGGAGTATCACTTGCTAGTAAGTGATATTAATATCACTTAATATAAATATCATATTAAGGAAATCATTTATTAAATTTAACATCATTCTTATCTCTTCCCACGGGGATAAAGTTTATAAAAATGTACAACTATGCACTGGAATATATAGGTTAAAAGTTGCATTTCTTACATTCCTATTGGTTCACAGAACAGGTTCCTCAACCAAACATGAGATTTCAAGAATTCTTCTGTAACAGCAGAGATACAACCTAGCACTGTGGCTAGTGTGGCCACCGGGAAAGAGCACAGGGCAGCAGCTGTTCCTACCCACAGTCTCAGAACATCTGGATCTTCTCCCCTAAATCCATCACCTTCCCCTGGAATCCACAGCCAGATGGCTAAGAACCGCCATGTAACAAGGTATTTTTCCCTATCATAGAAAGTAACAGGAAAAAATGATGCTTTGGACACAGAGGGTCTGGGTGTAAGTTCACTCAGTGAGGTGCAAGGTAAGCTGGGACCCATTACATATGCCCTAGCCCACTTTCTGTATCTTTCAAATGGGGACAAATTATACAAACTTTGCTGGAAGTAGAAAAAGTGCTTTATATTAAACCAGCCAGTGCAAATGTGTGAGAAAGGACAGCTTACTACATACTGCTTTGTCATTTTTTTCACATTTCTCAAATCCATGCTAATTGTTTTATTTTTATACTCATTATTCAAAAATTTAAAGTGGGCTAAAAAATATGGAATGAAAAGTGAAAAGACCTTCCCAACAGCCCTTTCAACTCCATTTTAAACATATCTTCCTAAGCCTTTTTAGTTTTTCTTTTCCCCCAGTACTGGGGATAGAACGCAGGCCCTTCACACCAAGCTTTTTTCCCTGGCTTTTTTTTTTTATTTTTTTATTTTAAGAGGGTCTTGCTAAGTCACTAAGTTGCCCAGGCTGGGCTCAAACTCAAGATTCTCTTGCCTCAGCCTTCCAGAGTATATACTGGAATTATAGGTGCATACCACCACACCCAGCTAAAATCCCTTTTCCAGTATGTGTGTTTGTGTGTGCACTACATACATGTTTAACCCCTTAAAGTGGGGCCAAACTTGTGCTTTACAATTTACTTTTCAAACCTCAGATTCATCTTTCCCTGCTACTAATATGCCTAGCTGTGCTCATTCTTTTTTTTTTTTTTTGGTTTTTCTCCGGTACCGAGAACCGAACTCACGACCTAGCGCTTGCCAGGCAGGCACTTTTGCCGTGAGCTAAATCCCCAGCCCCTGTGCTCATTCTTTATAATGACTGCATAGTGTTCCACAGTGCAGAGATACCAAAATTTTGCACTCACTTCATTAATGGACATTTGGGTTACTTACAAATTTTGTTGTAACTTCTGTATAAACGTCTCTATTTATGTAGTTTTTGTACAGTGTATAGTGTATGTTTATGTGTAATTCTGTAATTGATTCCCTAGAATTGTTGGGACAAAAGTCATGAAGATTTTAAATTTTGATAAATATTGTCAAATTTATCCTAGAAAGGTTGTGTAAACATACATATCCATCAATATCAGATGGTAATGCCCTTTTCTCCAGACCCTTGCCTACACTGCGGATTATAAACCTCTTTTACTTTGTCCTTCTCAGTGGGCAAATAAGAGTATGTGTTGCATTCTTATATCCAAGTACCAAACTAGTAAGGCTGGGCATTCTATCATGCTCAACTGGTCTTTTATTATTCCTCTGTAAATTGCCGACTTTGTACACTTTTCTATCATGTTGTCTTCCTTTGCAGGAGGATTTTATTATGGATAGTAACCTGTCACATATGCTAAAGATTAGTTCCCAGTTTATTACCTTTACCTGCAGAGGTCGGATATACTCCTTGGAAAGTCAGAGGCAACATCTCTGGGATCTTTCTGTTTTACACCCACTAGATTTATTTTTTACTTGAGGGTCTTGCTAAATTGCCCAAACTGTCCTTGATCTCCTGATCCTCTTACCTCAAGCTCCTGAGTAGCTGGGATTACAGGCATGTTCTGCCATCCCAAGCACAATTTTATCTTTTCATACATGCCTTACTATCTCAGCTGAACTTTTCTTTTTTTTCCCTTCAGTGATGGGGATAAAACCCAGGGCCTTGCACATGCTAAGTACACATTCTACCACTGCAGCTTTCTTGAGGGCTGAAAACATGATTGCTTCCAGCTGCTGTTCTGAATTATATCTCAACATTTTGCACACAGTGGGTGGTCAATAAATGCAAGGATTACTTAAGAGACTGGCACTAAAATGCACAGAGGTGGGGCTGGGGATTTAGCTCAGCGGCACAGCACCTGCCTGGCAAGCGCAAGGTCCTGAGTTTGATCCCCGGTACTGAAAAAACAAACAAATAAACAAACAAAAAATAATAAAATAAAACAAAATGGACAGAGGCAAGAGAGAGCTGGGAACATGATGCAAAAGCATCTAGAAGTACTCAGTATAACAAAGATGAGGTGTTTTCCATTTACTTCAAAAATACAAACTATCCAATGATGTGAAACACAGGGACAGTTTGCTCCTGTCTCCTCTGGTAGGTTGAAAAGTTTACAACCTGCATAACAACACCTAGAAGGGAAGGAGAGAGACCCGGTGAGGATGGGGGTCATGGATTTCAGAAGACTCTACTAGTCCTTTAAACTCAGTAGATACCACACCATTAACAATTCTCAGCCTACTGGAAAATCTATACATAGGAAGCCCTTCATCTAAAAGCCACAGCTTGTTGTCCCAGAGTTATCCAGGCCAGAGTTTAAGGCAAAAAGAGCGACAACTTGTGCATATATGGATCAAGCTGCAATGGTAGTTCAGGAATATGGGACATTTACACATCTTTTTTTGGTACCCCGCTGCAGTGACAATGGCAGGTGCAGCCACAAGAGAATAAAGATTCAAATAAGATCAACACACAGGTTTCATTTTAAAACAGGTCTGTAAAGGTATCAGTTCTGGAATTAGACTGCCAGGAAAACAATCTCCAGTTTCTCATTAGTCTTCCTTATCCCACACCCTTAGGGAAAAAAGGACTATGGTTCTAGGCTGCAGGCATGTTCAACACAGGCACTAAAATCCTGAAGTGAACCTCAATACTAGTATTTTCAAGATAAGAAACACAATCTGGATGTACATGTCTCCTATTCCAGTTATTCGAGAAACTCTTATCAAGTTCTTACTCTTTCAAAAGCCTCTAAACAACTTTTATAATTTAGAATGGAAAAACAGTGCAGCTAGTCAAATTTATCATTTAATTCTGAATAAATGATCTTGATGATTTTGATTTTTTTAAAGACCAGGAAAAATCCTATACCAGAATGAAAATCATCCTAATTTGACAATGGTAACAGTTTAATAATCCCCAAGGAATACTTGCAAAGTACAAACTTAACTCCCCTATTTATCTCCTTTCCTTAGCATTTTAGCTGAAGAACTTTATATTTTCCTTAATGAGTCTCCAAATGGAAACAGTGAATATTAAAAAAAAAAAAAACCTCTCTTTTTCCTTGTTATATTCAAGAGTCCCCTAGAATTCTATTTTCTCCAGTTGTACCAAGTTCTCCCAAACATCTTAGTGTGGACACAAGTTTGAGAGGCAACACACTGTAATACTTAACTACCTGCCACAGGGGATGCTGAGAAATTAAAGAAAAAGACCCAGAGAGTAAACCTATAGATTAAGAAAAAAAGTAACACCTGAGCTGGGTGTGGTGGTTCACACTTGTAATCCCAGCACTGTGGGAGGCTGAGAAAGCAGGATTACAAACTGGAGTCACTAAAACTTGGCCCTGTCTCAAAATAAAAACCAAAAGGGCTAGTGCTGTGTGAAGGCCCTATGTGTGAAGGCTCAGTGTGAAGGCCCACTGGTACCACAATAAACAAGTAATAAAAACAAAAAAGGACCTAAAAACGGAGTGAAAAAAAAAAAGGACCTAAAAATGGTATCAAACATTCAAACTAAAATCCTTTAAGACAAAGCAGACATTTATTTAAAATCTGTAATTGTCAATTACTGATTTTGTTTCAATCCTGGCTCTATCACTACTTTGCTTACTTCCCTGACAATCAGTTCCTTCCTTCTCAGAATAGGGACAGCAGCACCTGCCTCATAAGGTTATTTCAAGGACTAAACTTAGCTGACTACTTAATACATAGCAAGTGCCTGAATGGTAACTATTGGCATCGCTGCAATTAAGTGACTGTCAGGGGAAATCATACATTTGCGCCTCCCCGAACTCTAAAAATTGAGATCACCTTCAAGTCAGACACACTGGTTTCAGTACACGGACTTTGTAATCCATTCTGATTGCTCAAAGGTCTTTTTTGGTTTTGCTTACTTCCTGGATCTCAACTATGTTCCAGGGAGACAGGTGAGTGAGGCCTGCAAACAGCAGAGTCAAAGATATGGTGTCACTTTAGACGTGGAGATTTTTGTATATAAACCAGCTAAATGGAATCTCTGCCACGGGAGTTCTTTAGGATTCTCACCTTTCACTATTTCTGAAAAAAATTATTATTATTATTATTTTTTTGAGACAGGGGCTATGTAGTCCACCTTGAACTTTGGTGGTCCTCCTGCCTCGGCCTCTGGAGTGCGGAGAGTACCGGCGTGTACCACCACACCCTGCTAAAATTAAGCTCTTGAATTCATCAAAAGTTATTTCACTGTGGCACAGCATCAAAAACAAGTTTAAGAAAGGGATCTTGTTGTAAGACATAATTTTAAAATTCGCAATTCTTAAGTTTTCAGGGTTAATGAAATGTAGAACCCCGCAGCTATTAAGGAGGTGGTGTATTTCACCACCTCCCAACAATGCTTGCTGGAAATGTGTGTGTACTCCTGGGGAGGGCCAGGGCCAACTCACTGGTGGCGTGTAGGCAGGAACTGCATGAGAGCTCAGCGGTACCCCCGCAGTTTTAAGAGAACCCGTTATTAGAAGAGGGCACTCACGAAGTTCTCCTCTCAAAGCACCATGAACCGCGATAAAAAACTGACTTAAAGACCTCCCACAGCCCCTCCCCGCGATCCCAGACCAGAAGATTTGGGGGAAAGATAACCACATAATTCTAAGAATAGGCCTGACACGACATCCTATAGCTCAGTCCTTGAAAGCGTAGGGTGGGCACCAGAATGACCTCCTTCCCCCAACCCCGGTCGCCCCACCTTCCCGCGTGGCCTGGTTGCCACGTCAGGCCCAGCCAGCTGCGGTCCTGCCCATCCTCCTTCCGCCAGTCTCATTGATTTGCGAGTCCCCCAGCCCGGATCTTGCCCCGAGAAGAGCCCCAGGAAAGACTGCAGGGCGTGGGGAGAGCAGACACGCCTGCAGGACTCCAGCTCCCATTGCAAACTTTTCAGACACAACACGGCCCCGCACAGTGCCCGGCCGGCGCCCTGACGGGTCAAGTTCTCCAGCGGACGGAGCGCTGAGGGGGCCCGGCGCTGCGACACCCCGGCCCGGCGCGGGAGCCCACCCGGACCCCGGCGCCCGCGCAGCCGGCTGAGGGGGGTGTGTCAGGCCCTCGCGGGCCTTGGGGCGCCAGGGTCCCCAGCATCCCAGCCTCTCGGGGCCTCTCCCGGCCGCTCACCGGCGCAGGAGCGCGTCTTCCAGATCTTTAGCAGCAGGATGACGATGGCCGCCAGGTGGGACAGGTCCCCGGTCAGCCGGAAGATGTTCATGATGGAAGCGGCGGTCGGCGCGGCGGCCCCGGGGCTCGGTAGCTCAGCAAGTAGCGGCGGCCCAAAGGAGAAGCGGCGAAGATGGCGAGAGCGGCGCGACGTGGCCGAGGGACGTGGCCGAACTGCCGTCGCGCGCGGGGCAGCCTGGGAGAGCGGGCCGCTGGGCCACGCCCTCGACCACGCCCTTTAAAGGGGACGCGCCACAGCCCTGGCGTCCCGCGCGGTAACCAAGTGGCGCTTTCAGCTGAAGACCCGGAGTCCTCGCCCACTTCCCTCTGCCCAGCTTCCGGCCTCTCCCCGGGTGCCAGCGATTTCCTTTAGTTTTTGAAGTGACACTCCCTTATGTGGATTTCCTTTTTCTTTTTTTCTCTCTTACTACTGGTCGTAAAAACGCTACATGCTTATTGTAGGAAAAAGGGGAGGAAGAAAGTACGGGATCGCATCTCTGAAGGTCGACATTGTGGGGGCCCTGGAAGATATGGTTTATGTGGGGGCCCCAAAACCTTTCCATTCCGGGCGTTGTCTTTAAGAACGAGAATGCCCTGCCGGGGGGTGGGCCCGCGCCTGAAATCGCAGCACTCTGAAGACTGGTACTGGAGAATCGCAAGTTGGAGCCCAGTCTGGGCAACTCAGTGACTTATCCAGATCCTGTGGCAACATTTAAAAAATAAAAAATAAAAAGAGGTTGAGAATGTAACTCAGTGTAAAGACCCTGGCTTCAAGCCCTAGTACTGGAATAAAATAAAATAAAAATAAAAATGCAGGGTCTGGGGGTGCAGCACAGGTGCTAAGTGAGCTACACCCTGAGCTCTTGCCTGGCACATGCATGAGGGTAGAAAGGTGAACAGTTCTACAGAATGAAAAAACAGATCACAAGAAATCACAAGCAGAATGCTACATAGTTCGCAGGTCTGGTACAAAAGAAAACTCACGGCCACTATTTCAAAAAAGAGAAGAAGAACCTTGTGCACCAGCTCAGGCCTGTAATCTCAGCTACTCTGGAGGCTGAGGCAGGAGGATCACAAGTTGGAGGTCACCCTGAGCAACACAGACCCTGTTTCAAAATTAAACTTAATTTTTAAAAAGAGCGCAGGGTATGGCTCAGAGGTAGAGCACTGGGCCTAGCATGCAAACCCATGGGCCTGAGCCCTGGTACCAAAAAAATAAAAATAAAGGGGTGGGTAGAGAGAGGTAGGGGAAATGGCGTTAAATGTTTTAAAACATAAAGCTTTTTTCTTTTGCAGTCACTCAGTTTGTAGTGTTTTTTGCTTGCTATTTAAGAAGTTAAAATTTTGGCACTTGGGAGGCTGAAGTAGGAGGATCACTGTGAGTTCAAGGCCAACCAAAACTACACAGCAAGGCCCTGTCTGAAAAAAAAAAGAGAGAGAGAGAAGAAAGAAATTAAAATTGTAAATTATGATCATGAGTTTTACTGCTTACATTGGGCAATGTCAGTTCTAAATGCAAATATCACAGCATTTAACTCAGATGATGGAATAGCTGATAGCAACATAGTCAGAGGCCACTATAGGGACAGAAGACAAACTCCTGGGCCTTTACCCTGTTACTCATTATAAACATGATTTGTGTTTTCTTCTAAGCTAGATAGGAACTTAAAAGTGGTTTTAGCTAAAAACTATGAGTCTTCACTTGGGCCTGCAAATACCCAATAGGTAACTAAAAGTAAAATACCTTTGTAAAACTCTAGGTCAAATCCCTCTAAGCTCTGCCTACAGGCACACTAGTCATTTAGTTAATGTCAGTCTAAAAGTTGGCAAAACAAGGTCTATGAGCCCTAAATTTACCAAGACTATCTCATAATCCTTCAAGACTGAGGACATTGCAATAGGAGACTTACAGCACCATTCAGCCTGTCCTCGAAGTCTTCCTAGCCCTAAACCTAGAGTCACCTTGGCTTCCAGAAGAGCCTTGAAAGACTGAGGCTGTTCCATGCAAGAGCAATCACCCCATGGGAACTGAATTGCCCATCAAGTTTTGAGGCATCATCCTGAGTTCAGCTCCAAAACCAGGACCGAGAGATCGATTGATCAGACCCCAACCAGCCACAACAGCCCATAATCTGGTCTCCATTCTTTCCTAAATGGACCATCCTGATCTTCATCACAGCATGCTCCTCCAGCGCCTTCAACTGGAGTCCTTCCCCTGTCTTCCTTTGCTTTCCTTTGCTAAGGGACTAACTTGATCTTTATTAGCTCCCTGAGCTAAAGCCCCTTATCATTTTCTCTTACTTCTCAATTAAATTCATACCGTTGCTTTAGTTTTTAATTTCCATTATCACTAAAACAAAACACACACTAGCTGGTGAAAGAAGCACACAGTTCATGTTTCCTGGCTTGTCTGTGCAGGGTGCCTGGAGCTGGCTGGAAGGGATGGACACAGGGTGGCCCCAGGAAGGTTGGAAGGAAGAGGAGGCCCACTGGGCATAGAGCAGGCAAAGCAGGCACAACTCTGGGCATAGGGTATGGATGGACCAGCGTGGATGCTCACATGGGGAGTTTGCACTTGGGTCTGATGGCTTGAGCTGGGCACAGTCCATCCCCATTCTACCCTAACCCTTGGCAGAGGGCAACCTTCAAGGATATGCAGCCCACATGCCAGGCACCTGGATCAGGGTAAGGGGAGAGATTTGTTCCTCCCGAGTTATCCAAACATACCCTGGCACAATCTGTGGTGAACAGCATATGCTATGCCCGCCAGAGAGGATGCACAGAATCTGACCGGACCCACCCACCTGCGTGCATGCTGAGGTTCCCTAAGGGGAAGGTGGCTGTGGTCACAAGGACAGACAGAGGGCAGTTGCCAGGCTGTCTTGGTATCTGGGAGCAGGCAGATGAATTCATCCCAGGGGAGCAAGAAGATTGCAGGCAGTAGAGTGACACACATGCCCAGGCTCCAGCTCTCCGTTCCATGCTGCACTGCCTTGTTAGGCTTTGCTGTGAATCACAAATCAAATAGCAAAAATATTAAAGATTTCATGACAGTAGCTGCAGGGCTTTAAGCCATGAGTATGGGCCCTTTTATACTGGGCTCTGGGAAACAACATTGACTCTTGCCCAGAAATCAGCCCTGCACACAGCCATGCACAAAGACACAAAACCCAGCTAGATGTGGTGGCACATGTCTGTAATCCCATCACTATTCCAGGCTTAGGTAGGAGGATCCAAATTTGACCCCAGACTGGGCAATTTAGCAAGACACTGTTTTTTGAGACAGAGTCTTTCTATGTATTTCAGGCTGGCCTTGAACTCACTATGTAGTGTAGGCTGGTCCCAAACTCACAGTGATCCTCCTGCCTCAGCCTCCCAAGAGCTGGGATTACAGGCAATGTGCCACCATGCCTACTTTACTTTTTATATATATATTTTTTCCTCTGGTACTGGGGCTTGAACCCAGGACTTCATACATGCTGGGTAAGTCCCCTACTAAGCTACATCCCCAGCCCTGAAAAAAATTTTTTTGATAGTTTGGAAACATTAATTTCAGCTTCTCAATTTGTTATTTGTAAAATGGAAATTTTTTGAGATCATAGTCACATTTGGAAAATCCTCAATCATGTTTCTTTCATATAAGTACTATAAAATTTTAGAGCATTTCTACTTTTTTTGGGCAGGGACTATGTGCAATACTTTTTGAACTGGTGACAATAGTTAACCAGCTTTTTTTTTGGCATTCCTTGTATCTTATGATTTTGAAATATATCCACAATTTACTTGACACTTCCCTTAAGAAAAGGAGCTTAATTCTTCTCCTCTTAAATATACACTGGTCTTAGTAACGAACAATGTAGTAGGGGCTGGGGGTGTGGCCCAGTGTTAGAGCATATACATTAGCATGTGTTTACTCCCTGCACCAAAAAAAAAAAATTTTTTTAAAATTAAAAAAAATATATATATATGGTAGAGAGCACAGCTTGTCACTGCTGAGTCTAGGTCATAAAAGGTACTGTGGTTGCTCCCCCTCTTCCCTCCTTCCCTTTCATCGCTCCCTCTGGTGGAAGCTAGCTGCCTGGCTATAAGGACGCTGACAGAGCTCTATGGACAGATGCCTGTCTTCCCATGACTAGCCAGCAAGGGGCCTGCAGCTACCAGCCACAGGGTGAGCCATCCCGAAAGCCAGTGCCAGCTCCCATCAGGCCTTTAGGTCCTTTAGATGAGTGCAATCTTGGCTGATATCTTTTCTAACTATTGGAAAAATAGCATGAAAAACAAAAATCATCTGTTCCTATGTTATAAAAATAAATAAATAAATGAAAACAAACAAAATCTCCTGCTGACCCAGTAAATCCTCTGCTCAAAATGCAGAAAAGAATGAAACCATTTTGATATTAAATAAGCATCAAACCAACTGTGAGAACCATCACAGGAAATCCCCCACAATCTGCTAAAAAGATCTAAGAAAGGAAGAAAGGAAGAAAGAAAAGGGAGAAATCCCACTATTTCATATAGCTAGGCAGATACAATCCATTACATGCATGTGAATTGTCTTCCAAAAAATTCCTCTCTCCCTCTCTTTCTCTGTATGTGTGTGTGTGTGTGTGTGTGTGTGTGTGTGTGTGTGTGTGTGTGTGTCTGTTCTGGGGCTGAAAGCCACACATGCTAGGCAAGCACTCTACCCCTGAGCTATATTTTCAGTTCCCATATCGTTTTAACGAGCAGGATGTTATAACCTGGAGCCAGACACCTAGCTCAACTCTCCAAGCCAGGGAGCCAGGGCAGCATCCTTTTCACTGGTGTTCACATTTCAAAGAGATGGCTCTGAAGACCCCAAGAAAGATATTCTTGGGGTGCAAAACTGGTAAAAAGCTTATTTAGCTTTGAAAACAACTTAACATACCTCTGAAAAGGACAGAGGAAAGATTTGTGATTATAAGTTTTTTGAAGGAAATGCCAAGCAGGTCTATTTGAAGGAGGGAGTCTTTTTCTTTTGGTACCAACCAGCAAAGGCTTAAAATTATTTCAGATTTTTATTTATTCAACCTCATGAGATTTCCTGAGCTAGAGGCACTCAGCTAAGATGCTCCCTAATTCCTGGCCTCCTAAAACTGTGAGATAATAATATGTTGATACATTGCTTTAAAGTGCTAAACTCTGGATTGATTTGTTACCTAGCCACAAAT